TCTAAAATTGTTACGACAAGAGAGATTCTAAGTTTTTTTTTTTTAATAAAAGAAAGGACATGAATTTAAAAAAAAAAACTTGCTTTTTATAGGAAAAAAATGAAAGGATTAACTTGCGAATAGATGCGGATTCGACTCGAGGTTTGCATCCTAACTCGAATTGGTGCACAATTAACAACCTTAAATCGATCCAGATGAACCACCATTGAACCAGTCCAAACCGCCATCAAACCGGATTAAACTATAGAAAACTGCTCCAAATCGCATAAAATCATCTTGAATCGTGTTGAATTTGTCAAACCACCCCTGGATCATTGATCAACGTTGACCGACTGGTTTTGGGTAATTTTCCTCATTTTTCTCATTTTTTTTCATTTTTAATTTATTTTAATTTATTATTTAATGCATATTTATGTTTTAAATCCCTATAGTAATTTTTTTAGAAAAAGGAAAATTGGAGTTGCAATAAAACTAATAAATTAAAAATATATATTAAACAAATAAATAAAATAATAAGATAATAATATAAAAAATATAATGAAAATAAAAAAATAAAAATGAAAATCTCCAAGGATGAGACATTAAGGAAGTTTAAGTAGTGATTCCTTCAAATCTTTAGGTAATAATATTTTTTAAAAAATATTACTGAAGTAATGGAGTACTTAGAAAAATATCTAATACAAAAAATTTTTATAAAATAAAAATAAATAAATAATGATAAAAGAAAATTTTTTAGCAATAAAATTATCTATAATAATGCATGAATATTATTATTTGCAAGAATTGATTTAAAAGAAAAAAAAAGCAAAAATGAAGACTTTCGAGGACGAGATTCTAAAAAAGTTTGAGTAATGATATTTTTGTAATCTCTAGGTAAGAAGATTGATCTAAAATACTGTCAAAATATTGAAGCATTTAGATTAATTTAAAATAAAGATTTTTGTTTGCTTTTTATTTACTCAAAAAACAATACAAAATGGATTTTTATAAAAAGGAAAATATTATTTAGATTAAATTTTAGGCATCATATTTTATTATTATACACATTATAAATATTGATTTTGAAGATAAATATGAATCGTCGATAATGAGATTCTTAAGAAATCTGAATAATAATTCTTAAGAGATTCATAGTTGAGAAAATTCATCTTAATATTGACAAAATATTGGAATATTTTTGAAAATTTTTCGATAAATGAAATTCTTATTTATTTTCCAAACAAAAGATTAAAAAAAAACAAATATATATTTTGTTGCGGTAAGAAAACTAAAGAAACAATTGTTTAAATATCAAAAGTAAAACCACTTTCATTAATGTTAAATAATAACATGTGATTAATAAGTACAATTTATAAAATGTGCGTTGTGGGGATGTTAATCATTTCCTACACATAACCATATTTTCGAACCCGATTTTGTTTTTCGTAAACGAAAAATTATTTTTTTAATAAGTTTTATTTAACTTTAAGATTTTATTAAAAAGATAAATTTTTAGGTGACCAATCACACTTATACAAAAAAAATTAGTGGTGACTCTCTTTGTTTTTGAATGTTTTTAAAAATTCATCTAGTGATCCCTAAAACTGTTATGGCAAGTTTAGAATTCATATAATTTCTTCTTTTGTACTCCTTATATGTACAAAAAAAAAAGTTGATGCACTAAAAAGGCGCTTGGTTTAGGAGAAAGTTAGACTACTAGACCAAATCTTACTTTTTATAGTTTGATTCCTTGGTTTGGTTTAGAGGAAAGTGATTTTAGGGGTATTCTAAAATTTTAAACAGTGTCCACATAATCTGAAATAAAAAACTTATCTCTTCTTAGGGATTTTTAAGATTCTTGGAGGAAAGTAAATTTTGTCCTACTTTTGACCTCAATAATAATTTGTTATAGTATATTTTATCCTTGTAAATTAACATAATTGCAATATAAATTGAAACCCATTCTGGCACGAAAAGCTGCGTTTCTAGCCACACGATTGGATAAAACTGTATTAATAGTTACATGATTAGACATCTAACAATGATCATTTGTATTTGAATTTTTATAAATTTAAATATTTGTTTTCAACTGATAATTTTTTAGAAAGATAATGTTTTTGAATTATAAACGTAGTTGCATGATTAGACATCTAATAATGATCATTTGTATTTGAATTTTTATAAATTTAAATATTTGTTTTCAACTGATAATTTTTCAGAAAGATAATGTTTTTGAATTATAAATGTAGTTGAAGGATGAATAAAATAAAATTTTAATAAATCAAAATTTGTCATTTACACAATGTTGTTTATATTAGAATTGTAGTCATATGTTATAATATATTATTAAAAAAATTAATTATAAGAAAAACAACTTTTTAAAAGAAAAATGTAGTAGATTGTTTCAAATTAAGGATTTTGAAATTTTTTCAAAAGCACTATATTTTTAACCTATAAAATGTAGTTGATTATTTAAAATAATAACCAAATAAATTTTATATTTTTAATATTTACAACGTTTCTTAATATGAAAATGTAGTAATTGATAAAACATAATATTTTTTTTATATAAAATCATAATTATTGTTGGTAGAGTCAGTATATAATATTTATAATGATTTCAACTACTTTTTTTTATGTAAAAAATGTCATATTTGATAAAAGTAAAATTTGATATATATTTCTCTATATTAATAACTATGTTTTTTGTTATGAAAATATAGTTATTGATAAATCATAGTAATTAATCACCTTGAACTAATAACGTTTTTTATATATGAAATGTAGTTAAAATTAAAATAAATAATATATTTTTCATATCAACAACATTTTTTAATATGAAAATGTAATAATTAATGAAACGTAGTAATTAAAGGAGGGAAAGCGATTTATAAGGGAAAGAATATAAAATGTAAAATATTTTTATTTCATATTATTAAATGTAAAATTTAAAATATATTTATTTAATATTATAACAAATAAAATTTGTTCAAGGGCTCTGCTTTTGGAAACCCCTGAGAAAGGGATTTATCACTCCCATTCCAACCCTCACGTCGGTTTTACTGTAAAGGTCGATTTTTTTTTTTTTTTGTGTAGGGATAATAACGTGTTATTCACATATCATTATTATGAATATTATATATTATTCACGTGTTATTAAAAATAATATAATAAAAAATTTTTTTAGGTAATATTAAATTTTGTGAATCAAATACAAAAATTTTATATTTTTAAGTCTAAAAATATCACATTCTCTTTCAATATCACTTTTTTTTAAATCATTTTTTTTAATTTAAAATTTTACAAATCAAATACCTTTTTTAAGTGTTTTGAGCCGATAAACTTAAATCAGTTGTACCGTGAAGAGTGCCAGGGAGTTTAATTAAACAAATTGCTAGACAACATTGCAGTTATGCTAAGTTTTAATTTTGTGAATATCCCCAGACAAGGCTTCGTTAGTTGAGGATAAGCATCAATCAGTGCTTCAAAAGACAAATAGCATGTGGAATTGCCTGCAAGTGCAAGATGCATCCAACAACAGGAACACATGGCAGGAAACAACATCATGGCTGTTGGATTAGGACATGAAGGGACTTCCTCAGCCTTTCCTGCTCTGTTCTGTTCAAGGTTTTAAATCCAATTGTTATTAATATTTAATAGGTTTGAATTAAATTAGACCATAGCAAAGAAGGATACTATAGTATAAATGTATCTAGCAAGCATAGGCGGATCGAAATGAGATAATAAAGTGTTCACAGATATTGAAAAATTAAAAAATTAAAAAAGAATTTGAACATTCCTAAAATTTTTTAAATATTTTTTTATTAATAAAACTGATAAATCTATCAATAATTTTTTAAATGTATTGTAAGTACAAACAAAAAAAATTCTAATTTCACCACTACAGACAAGTGTAAGACTCTCTCTTTTCGATTTACTGAAATTGATTGACCAAACACTACCCATTTGCTTACTGACCTCAAAGCTTTAATTGGTGTTTGGACTTTGGAGTGCTTGAATCATTTAAGATGTTAGAGTTGGGTTGGCAATGTTCGTTGAGACTAGACTCCGTGGGCTGACAATGAAAATAATTCTATTTTCCAATAACTTTAATAGTTGGTATTCCATTTTTAATTTGACTATAGCTGAAGATGTAATATTTGAAATTCAATGTACCACTTCCAAGTGTCACGGTCCCAAGGGAGGTTTAAATCCCATAATGTATACTAAAATTTGAATAGTTATATACACGTTAATACCATCTTCAATCTATTATATATTTTTTTGAGATAAAATAGTAAAGTTAGGTTTAATTCGATGAAGTGAATAACACTTTATAAGTTGATTATGTATTAAAATTTGAGTAAAAAATATAAAATATTTACGTTTGAGAATTTTTTTTATATGGCAAATAATGGAGACTTGGAACCATTTTTCTGTCCAAGGGCTAAGAATGAAGATCCTGCTCTTACCCGTGCAGCATTGTTAACCCTGTGGACAGCTGCAAGGCCGGATTCTTTCTCAGAAAAATAGATGTGCTGGGACTATTCAATTGTCAGGAGTAAACAAAATTCTCATACAGTAGCTCGTAAAGCTTCTCCTTGGCACTTGGGCCGCTCAGCTTTGACCTATGCGTTTAATGTATGGTCAAGCCCCAGGGGTCACAATTTAACATTAGACCAAACCAAGACCAACCTCTAAACTGGAATTAAAAGGGAATAGGCCAGGGCGACGGATGGCTTGAGTCATTGTTTCTACTTTCTAGCACAAGTGAAGGATTGGAAGGGAAAAAGGAATCGGAGATGATCATTTCCTTCGTGAAATCCAATGGTAAGCTCAAAGTAAAAAAGGGCAAAAGAGATGCATTACTGGCATAGATGAAATGAGCTTTGAACTTTAAGCATTGATTTGTCGTAAAGATGAAAAACTGAAGAAAAAAAAAAACAAATAAGGAAAAATGGAAAGACACAACTCAGAATAGTTCGAATGGTTCATCATCACATCAGTCACTAGATCTTCTTATTCCATCTTTTACCTAGAATGTATCTCGTTTCTCTCTTTCTATCATTATACTTTTTTTTTTCTCTTGTACGCTATTAATGTTAAAGAAATAGGAAATGGCCGAGCTCAACCATTCGAACACCAGAGAAGTACAGTTCCAGTCAGCTGGTACAGTTGTTTCCCCTTGCTTGGATTGTAGCGTGAAAATAAAAAATTTGATAACCAAAAAAACTGATACAATGATTAGATGTTAGACCTGCATCCACCAAAAAATCGGCCTTGATCTCAATTTTCAACATAAGTTATTTCACTGAGAGTAGAAGTGCAGGGCAGATAAGGCCTGTTAGACACAATAAAATAGTACATACCATAAGAAATTCCAAATCAGAACGTTTACATTGTAATCTTTTAAAGGGAAAAAAAATCGTAAGAAAAACATGCTATAATACGTTTTTCTCTGTCCAATAATAAAAATCAAATTTGCATCTCAAGTTGTTTTAATTATCCTATTGTCTTGTAATTTTAATACCACCTATAACTGACTCAGAGAGATCATGAAGATTCATGGGTACAAAGTTCGTAACCAGATATGAGCGAGCTAAATGCAAAAGCAATAAAAGCCAAGAAGGCCATTGCAACTGAGGCACTAGCCATCTCAGTGAACTCATCCTTGCCCCAATTTGATTGCCAATCATCAACTCGGGTGGCTGCTGCGGATGATGCTGAAATCAAAAGATAGGCTAGTATCTGCAAGATAAACCAAAGATGCAAGCAATTCTCTTTCAGCATACTCCTCTCTCAGCATTTGCACACTTGAATGCACTTGTATGCATTTAACTTGGACCTAGCGATACAAATGACCCACCCACATATATCTTATCTCATACACTAAAATTTATGCATAGAGCTTGGACAACTAAATGAACTCAACCTATCACAAACAAGGGAAATCTAATTGACGAATTGAAGGTTATGATGATAGATTGATATGTAGGCAACATAGAAGTATAGGAGTCCAAGCCTGAAACACTGATATAGATGGAACAATGCAAACTATGCCCAAAATGGAGTTCCAATAGTTACCAAATCACTCAAAAAGACACAAAAGTAGAGTTCCATATAAACCTAGTAAATTAGAATTTTTTTTTTACAAAATAAGCTACAACTGGCAATAAAGAAAGGGGTAGCAAGTGTTAAAGGGTGTCTTAATGAATCAATTGAGCAACACTTCGGGTTTGTAAATTAGCTTATTTACTAATTAAGATAAAGACAACAACTGTCTAACTGCAATTTATCATATACATAATGCCTCCAAAAAGCCAGGGGGAATAACAAGTGCTAACATCAAGCAAAGTTAGCTAATTTGCAAGTAGTATTTAATGAATGCGAAAACTTGCCTGATCCATGAAGAAATCGAAAGGCTGACGCAGGTAATGGTGAATGACACGTTTTTCGGTAATGAGATAGTAAGCTAGATCATAGGCTTGAAACCCAGCATATACAAATCCAATCACATTTACTGATAAACAATACCTGTAAAACGAATTGACATGAAAACGACAGTCGAATATGCAATATAAATGATGAATTAAATGGAAAAAAAACCAAATTTATTGCTATTTATTTCCCCAAATTAACATTATTCTTACAAAATTATGTAAAACGAAAAACCTGTAAAATTATGTAAAACGAAAAACCTGTATTCTTTGTAGCGATTGTAAGAATCACCGCTCCAGCCTTGAGTTTTATCAGCGGCCATAACAGAGAAAGAAATCAAGCATAAAACGATTTCGCTTAATCGAAACCCTAAAGCTGCCATCTTCACCTTCTCCTGCACCTTCGATCTTCTCTGTTCCGCCGCCACTGCCATCGCTCCTCCTCCTCCATCACCACTTACCTTCGTCCTCGTCGTCACCCGCTGCCCCTCCTCCCTCACCGCACGGTTCACTGTCAAATGCGACCACTGTTGCGGTGGAGTAGTCGGCGGAGGCGGCGGCGAAAGAAAAGGAGAAGCATTGGCGTTGAACTGGGCGGGCTTGTCGACCACAACGAGTGCCTTGGAGTTGTCAAAGTAGAGTTGACCGGGGGAAGCTGCCGGGGAAGCATAGGGAGGAGAGGTATTATCTGGCTCGTGCGGGTCGGGGTCACCCTGGTCGGATCGGAGAGGGGAGTGGAATCGGAGAGGTGAGTGGGGCGAGTCCTGGTGAGTCAGCGAGTTTGAGTTCGAAGAAGAGGATCGTTTCATGATGCCGTTGAGATTTTGATTATGTTTCACCGGGGCTTTGGTTTCCATTGCTTTCTCGGAATTTAATGGGAGGATTAAAACAAAAAAAAAAGAGAAACTTAAAATTAAAAAGAGGGGGTTTTCAGCGTTTGGGAAGCGAGAAAAAAAAGTATTGAGGACAAAGTGAAGTTAGAAGGAAACTAACTGGTCTACTTCAAGCTTTTGTTTTCGTAGGGACCAGTACCACGTGGCACCTACTTGGATAACAGATTATATCCAAGTGCATAAATTTAAAAGAAAGTCCAGGATTTCTACCAGTAAAATCCCGCCACGTTTTCTAGTCAATTCAGTTAGGTAGACGTGGCGACATACTATTTCTTGACATATTGGGAGACTGGTAAGGAAGCCGCTAGGGAAAAATCTGAAAAATTCTTCGCTACACATGCAAAAAATTTCAGTACTTCGTCCTAGTAGCATTAGATATAAATTATAAATAATAATAGCAAAATATTGGAAAATAATGGCTGATATATGACACAATTTTTATTTAAAATTTATATTATTATTCCTCCTTATCATTATTTTCATGTAGGTTTTTTATGACACTTTTTTTTTAAATTTCAAAGCTTAATGTTTTTAACCAAAGTTATGCTCTCATTTTACGTGTTCCAAAGCTACTTTTCTTTTTAGAAATTAAGTTGTATAATCCAAGATCAACAAATACTACTGTTACTTATTAAATAAGATTGCAAGTGAATGATTAGATTAATAATATAAAGTCGATATTAAGATTAAAATTAAGATTGTGAGTGTGCTGTAATTTAGTAATATAAAATCGATATTAAATTTAAAATTTTTAAATTTAAATTTTAATAATATAAAAATAAAATTGAAAATTACAAGTAGGAATTTGTCATTCATAAATGTTTGTGACATTCCTTAATTGGTTGATCGCAAAGGGAATTCAATTGCTTAGGTTGGTAAGCTTTCAATGAAGACTTTATAAAGTTGATTGTTTCTTTAAGAGTGGGCTATGCCTCTGCCACTTTGCTTTGTGATAAAAAGGCAAGCCCACCCACCTCTTTTCGCTCACATCTTCGTCCAAACAGATTCCTCCAACACTAAGTATCAAAAACACCCTTGCTTTAAACCATAAATATTTAATTAATGAAAAACATATTGACAGTAGAAAATAATAATACCTATTTACCATATTGCCCCATTAATTGCAGACACCCCCACCCATGAATTTGTATAATACCAACTTTGACCATGCCTGGAAGCAATGGACTGGACCTCTAATCAATCTGACACCTGTCTTGCACAAGTAGCTTTCCAAAAGCATATAGCAAAAAATGAAAATGAAGCAAGTAAAGCATCCTCGTCTTTTTCCTTTTTCCTTAAGACTTTCATACAATCCAATGCCTTTCACTGCTTAAACAGCAAAAAGAAACCTCCATCAAATTCTGCTTTTTTGTAACTCTACGGAGCCACACCTTCTAGTGAAAATTGATTGGTTTAAGTTTGCGATGAGCAGTGACAGTGAACGCTTGACACTTATATCCATCATGTATCAATGATTTTGTTAATAATGCATGGCCTAGGAGAAAGATAGTTACTTGTGATTCAAACCATAAAGAGAAGCAGTCTATTGAAATGTGTATAAAGACAGGATGCATAGGGAATCATTTCAGCTGCAAGTCGCATCATGTTAGTACAAAGTCCTGAATAATTTTGTTAACTTGCCATTGAGTTCCAAGAGCTCACCATCAACCCATCGTGAACTATCTCAGTTCCGTAAGGACCAATGCACCAACATAGAGGCCTACACTTCAACCAGCTGGTATCAATCAATGATGCTTGCTATGTGGAGAAAAAGGAAAAAGATATTCTAAGAATACCCACCCTCAAATGGATATAAACCATTATCACTGCTAATTCGCTTCAAATTTGTGCGCTCAGATAATCTGCTCCGCCTCTGTGCCTAACAGCAAGTTTGACAATGCGGCGCATATCTCTAGAAACCTAAAAGTTAATAGTTAGGCATCTAATTGTCAAACTCAGTTATTAAATTTCAAGCTATAATTAAATTTGGAGCTTCCAAACACATCATCCATTATTTAAGAAAAATATATTAGATGTCAAAATCAGCATTTCTTTCTATTTCTGATTTGGGACAAAGTGGTGATAAAGCAGCAACTCAACACTTTAATTACACTCAATAGGGGGCATGGTGATTACATTATAACTTAACAAGTACTAACGGTCTTCAGAAGGAAGAGGATTTCTGGTTTGTATAAGTTGAATGAGTTGTTAGAATCAAACATCTGGCAGTGCTTTACTTATGTTATGCTTATCCCACTAAAAGAAGCTTTTGATATAAAAGCAATGAGAAGAATGTAGGTATTCTATTGACATCCCAATCTTAATTATCTGAATCCAGTGGTTTAAATTTAAATCTTAACTTAAAAGAAGCCTTATCTGAACTCCAAAATGCCTTGGCAACCTCCGGAGGCATAAGCTCAGAAACACCTTGAGCGGCCATAGCTGCTATTTTCACCTTGGACACTTTACTTTCTCTGGCGTCATTATCTAAACTCCTCTTGGGAACATGCAGCAGAAAAGAATCTCTTTCCAAGTCCTTAACATCAGCCGGAACACGAACATAGTCATCCTTAGTGGAAGTGTCCTCATTATTATTGCAAGCCCACCAATAAAAAGCTTCATATCCAAATCCTTGCAGTCTTCTGCAGGATTGCTACCCTCTCCCAGAGAAACTCCATCAGGCTGACTCTCTTCCAAATCATAAGCTTCATCTTCAGAATTCTCAATGGATGCTGTTTTCTCATCTTCTTGCATCAACTGCTCCAGGGAATCATTAACTATTGTTTCCTCAAACATCAATATTCATTACTTCGACTTTCAGTCCCGGAATTTTATTTTTAAGAAAATTTATCACACTTTTTATCCCTTCCTCAGTTGCTCCCTCAATATTTATCCCTTTCTCATCACTCCTTTCGCCCATAGCCTCATTCCCCTGAACATCTGTAACAAATTCATTCTCAACTTTAGAATTGGATGGGGGATTTTGTAGGCTTGGAAGGTGAGCTGGTACCATTCATGGATCTTCCTTTTGCATGCTGCAAATAAACTACCTGCAACAGATGCACTGTCACAAGCATCTTCCATAATGTATTAGAAAATAGCGTCGGATAGCGGTGTCGTGGCCGCTATTTCGCGGTCGCGCCACTATCCGTCACCGCTATTGGAGAAAAACAGAAAAGAATTTGAATCTCGTCTGTAGCGGATGAATCGCGACCGTGAATTGCGGTATAACGGTGAATAGCGGCAATAGCGGTCCGCTATTGCCCGCTATTATCGTTATTGCCGCTATTCCTATTTTCATTCAAAAATTAAAAAAAAAAATTCATTTGATTTTTTTTAAAAATTTAAAATAAAAACAACAAGAAAAAAATAAACATCAATTTACAAATTCAGAAAAAAAAAAAACCCACAAACTTAAACTTTCAAAAAAATCAATTCTCTCAAGTTCAACTTCAATCAAAATCAAGTATATGTAATTTAAAGTAAACAATTAATTCAACACTCAAATTGTTTACTTTGAGGTTTACATATACTTGAGATGAGAGTGAAACTTGAGGTTTACAGAAGCAAGCAGATAGCACACACCAATAAAAAGAGAACTGAGAGATGGGGATGAAGATGAAGGTTTGGAGAAAAAAATTTATTGAATGCAAGGTGAAGGAATAAAAGTTGTGTGGGTCTGTGCAATTTAGTCAAGAGACAAGAAAAGTACACTTGAGGTTATTATTATTGAAAATCGACCATAACATGGAGGCTGTCAAGTTTGATTTACTGTAAGTTCATAAAAAGCAATTCTTTTGACTCATAAATAATAATGCTCTTACTTAATTTATGAATACCTAATCACTTATTATTTGATTTATGCATAATATAGTTCGGTAATAATTTGATGAGTACGGTAATTAAATAATTAAATATATTATTCGTTATGATTATTTATTTTTCACATATTTATTTATCTCTTTTTATTTTTTAATTATCATATAAATAATTTTTTAAAATATGAATATTTTACTATAAATATTTTTTTAAAATAAATAAAACCATGATATGATATAAATTACTTTAAAAATCATAAAATAAGAGGTTTTATGATTAATAAATTAAAAATTATATAATTTTATAGCAAGTTGAGCAAAATTTAAAAAAATTCACGACCACAATAGCCGTAATAACCGCGAAGGTCTCCGTTATATCCGCAAACCGTGACAAACGCGATGCGATCGAAAACGTGACTGTTACCACAATTTAAATCCCTGATTAGAATGCTTTAGAGTACTTGGTAGAGATGTACATCACGCTCTAGTTAAGAGATGCTGGAAGACAGACATGTATATGCATTGTACAAATAGGCTTATAGATTTATAAATGAAAATATTATGTCCCAATTTTACACAGGAATAACATTACATGTCGAATAATAGCCCAAGTGTTCAGACAAATCTGATCTATCAAAAATTTAATACAGAACTCCACAGACCCAATTATTGAATCCAAAATTTAATCCGAGTGTAGCCCGGCTCAGTTACTGAACGAACACACCAGAACTTTTCATGATGTGAAGCAAAGAAAGAACACGCACCACTGCACTAATTGAAAAGCAATTCAGATGTTGTGTTTGTGAAAAAGATAACAAGCAAAATACACCAAGGAAGCCAAAATCAGGTGCATGGAGCATTAGGTAGATACTTATGAACCGAATATATGATCATCTAATGTTGAATATGCTATGCTTTCACTGCAATAAACAAGTTTTAAGGACACTCAGCCTCTGCAGTAAATCAGTTGCCATACATATCTCACGGACTACAACTCAAAAGCTCATTGAGTCACTGATTTACCAAACGATTTCAACTCATACCAACTAGCATAGAGCCATACAAAGTAAACAAACAATATACACCATTTAACTGTACTCATGGTGTCAATAAGAGGATGGGTTACCTTCATAAGTGATTACCAAACATAAGCAGCTCATAGATCAGGCATAAGATCAAGGTATTCTAGTAGGTGCTCAACACTCAGATGTTCTCTTAACATAAATGTCACGCATATAACCTGACTTTTATGGAACTACGCCTTTCTTTACAGTGGCTTATTTCAATAAACTTTGCTACAGTAACTTTTTCTCTGCGGATCAGTGATTTGTTATCAATTTCATAAGTTTTTTGATATAGAAGATTCACTAGTGTGGTAGCAATAGAACATACTACTTATATCATTGCTAACCATGATAGAGTA